ACCATGAGGACTCGAAGAAGGGTCAATACTCACATAATGAGCCTATTTCCCAGTACGAGAAGAAAATCAACGATAAACATGACGATGAGAAGAATTATATCAAAGTGACCAAGGATCGCGTCTCGCAGCACAAGCCAACCCCTCATAATGAGAAGCCAGATCATCACCATCATTATCATCATCATGACAAGGATAATGAGCATCCTAAGAGGCCCGAGCCTCACCATAACCATCAAGAGGCTGGGCACCATGGGGACTCTAAGAAATCAGAGGACTACTACCCTTACAACAAACCGAAATACCAATTTGAGGAGCAATCTAAGCACAAGCACGACGATGATAACGAGCGTGGTCCATTTTATCAAAGAGTGAAGATGGATCGTAAGCCCATCGATTACTACACAAAGTCCGGATATCATAAGGACCGCGAAGATGAAACGAGGGCATACAAAGATCACCAGTCTCGTCTTGAAACTCACACCAAAAGATCAAGTAACCCTGTACCCAAGCTCAACACCACTCAAATCCTCAACCTAGAAGCCCTTTCGCCGCAGGACCGAAAGAGAATAGCAATGGGCCTGCCTCTTGATTCGCAGACCAGAAAGGAGTTCGGCGAGTTTAAGGATTGCACCCCCAAGCTGATTACCAAGCTCAACGTCATGTATGCTCGCATCGTCGACGACCCCAAATACGCACCTTTCATCAAGTACCTCAACACAGAACGCAAGTTTCGCAACAGAAAGAGATCTGATTCTGTGCTCACTCCAGAGATGCTCGCAAAGATCGAGGCTATGCCTCCTCTGATGCGTACCTTAGCTGCAGACCAACTTGATTTTAGCCCAGAACTCAAGAAAGAGTTTATAAAAGGCGGAAAGCTATCTCCCGGTCTTATCAGGAAACTTGAGAAGGAGTATGAACGTATTGCGAAGAACCCCAAATACAACAAGATCCTCGAGAAGCTCAAGTCTAATGGGAAGCGAGCAGCCCCAGACCCACCGCCGCCCAAGATCCCCAATGAGATGCTGAAGAAGATCGAAGCCATGGATCCAATCCTACGCCGCTTCTTGGCAGAGAAACTCGATCTTCCCGCGAAACTCACAGATGAGTTTGTAGATTGTGGAAAGCTCGACCAAGCGATGATTCACAAAATCAACTGGGAGTATGCCCGTATTCACAAGGATCCTAAATATAAGAAGATCCTTCAAGATTTCAACATCAAGTCCAAGCGATCTAAGGGTCAGGACGAGAATATTGAGGACGAGAGGGAGAAGGAGGCCAAGCCCAAGCCCAAGGAGAAGGTCGAGGCCGAGGAGCCGCAAAGGCTCACTGAACAGCAGCTAGCGGTGTTAGCGAAAATGCCTAAATTGCATCGCCGTGAAGTAGCCAAGAAGATTGGAATGCCTAAAGACCTGGCAAAATGGTTCATCAAGACCAAAAAGTTTACAGGTGAAAATCTGGAGCGACTGAACGAGGAGTGGATCCGAGTTCAATTAGACCCTAAATATGAAGATGTTGTCAAGTCGCTGAAGCATCTGACAGTCAAGGGAAATAATAAAGCGAGGAAAGGCAAGATACGGAAGCGATCTGTACACCAGCTTACCGAGAAGGAACTGGAACGTGTGCTTAAGTTGGACAAATACGAGCGCCAGGCCCTGGCGAGAAGGCTTGGGCTAGACCAGTCACTCGCCCGTGAGTTCATCAACGCATCTAAGCCGAACACTGATCTCCTCGAGAAACTCAACGAGGCTGTCTCCAAGAGTGTCGGTACTCCTCAATACCAAGAACTTCTCAAGCTTGTTGGTAAGGAATCCCCCAAGCCAAAGAATGAAGAACTGAAGCTAGAATCTATCAAGAAGGAAGTGCGCCTGGAAATCGCCAAGAGCCTCGACTTCGACGAATTCACCAGGGATGAGTTTTTGGAGGCCAAGGAGCTGAAGGGCAGACTCTTGGACAAGGTCACGAAGTATTGGGGGGTCAAGAGGATGAAGAACGCAGAGCAAGGAAAGGACGATATCAAGCACTCTGAAGTTATAAGCAAACTTCTCGGGTCGGCCCTGGACAAGGCGGGCCAACCAGGTGATGATCTCCAGAGTAAGGGCACCGATGGAAAGAAGCTCACCGAGGCTGAGCAGAAAATGAAGGACAAGCTTGAAAAGACAAAAGAGAACGGATGGTGCGATGAGTTCGTCAGCGAGCTTGAGGACGCCTGGGGCCCTAAGAAGGAGAAAGAAGGAAACTGAGAACGGTATGAAGGGGTACTCAAGTCGGAGTTGTTCAGATTGACATACGAGAAGCAAAGCTACTCGATTAGTTTTGTTTGCGGGGATTTTTACTGAACCCAAGTCGGTATCTAGACACCCCTGCCTTGGATAATGAATACAAGTATATCTGTTTCGAGACCTGATTCAGTTGCATTGGCATCTTGGTTTCTGGGAATAGCTTCAAATTGCGTGATAGAAGCCATAAAAGTCCGGGCCCAACGATGCCGCCGATTTCACGTGTCAATCAAGTCGATCATTTCAAGACACCGTCATTGCTTGGCACATTAAATTGGATCTAATTGGACGAGGATGAGCGACAGACCAGGGGAAGGAGCGAATCATTACGTACCTAAGTGTGCGTGTACGTACCTTGCGTGTCAGCAATGCAATTCACCTACCTTACCTCACCTCACCTCACCTCACTCAGTGTCTGGAATGTCATGAAGTCGTCTACCTTAACTTAGCTTGGACACTCTCAACTTCACATTTTTCATATCGTCATCATTGATTGTCAGTATCAGAGGGATGCAAACGCAGTGGCCTTTGCAAAATGGGTCAGAATCTTTCGGATGAGCATCCGCAGCGGCGGTCGCATGAAGAGCTAACCCAACAACTTGTGAGCTCCTCCTGTCCATCCATCTATCATACGTCACCAGAGCCAATTCTGAAATACCGCTAACACGAGCTCATAGACGGAGAAGTTTATGAAGAAATGTTTCACCTCTCTTGAACTATACTCACTCAGAGATGTTTTCAAGAGCCTTGCGGATCAACATGACTCTGTTAAATACCTGAAAGAGGATACTATCGCCCGTTACCTGGAAATACCAGACATTCTCGGCACCTCTCCAGTTATTTTCCAAATGGTATCCTATATCGGTGCTTTTCCATTTCTTCAAGATGCACCTGTAGTCCTGGAGTTTCAGCGGATGATTATGGTGGTCGTCATCATGACTGAGCGCTACCGAACCGTATTGGCGCGGGGCTCTTCAGATAGGACCAAGCTACTGTTCAAGAGCTTGGCTGTCTTTGATCGTAAAATGTCAGAAGCAGGAGCCCATCCAGACACGTCACATGTCGCACACGTCGAGTCCAAAGACGATAAAGAGAAAGCCACGTCCCGTATGGCTGGTTTTGCGGTTGATGCAGCTGGCGACGAAGATGAAGACGGTGAGGACGACGACCTCGTATTGACAGCTTTTGAATTGCTTGACATCAAGGATGCCGTGGACCAGGGCCATGCGCCAGTCTTTCATGGCGCAACGATCCCAACTGACAATTTCCGAAAACTTATCATGCTGCTTCTCCTTGCCGCCCCGCTTGATCCTCAGGAAAGCCTCTCGATGTATTCAAGCCGTGTTGTTGGACAAGAACTCGAGGGCCTCCGTGGCGCCGCTGAAAGCATTCTTGCCTCCTTCGTTAATGCCGAAACCTCAACTGGCATCAAGTACAACCACTTCAGAACCATCATCCCTGTGATTTGCCCTCATCTTTTTCGTGGATTCAATGGTCTCTTTGAGCGCTTCCTTTTCTCGCAAAATCTAGATTTCTCCAAACATCAAAATGATACCCCCGCTACTACTTCATCTCAAAAAGTAGCACAGCCTCTTTTGACCGACACGGGCGAGATACTTAATCAGAACACATTGTCCCAGATCTCATTTTTCCTCCCTGGAACAGATCTCTTTCGGCGAGTGAGGCTCCTATACTCGGGCAATGATGCCGGCTTCTCCATGGGAAGTTTCCAGACGAAGGTTTTCAACTGGCAAGCTCCAACACTGCTCTTGGTGAGCGGAACACGGCTGGGAGATGAGCCGGAGGGTGGTCAGGAAAGCAGTTTCGCGGCATCCTTGCCCCCGAAGCGGTTCCCTCATGGTAGCAAATCGGATCGGCTCACTTTTGGTGTCTACGTTCGTGAACCCTGGAAACACACCCACCGGGAATGCTTCGGCGATTCAGAGACAACTCTATTTCAACTTGAACCAATTCACGATGTCTTTCCGGCATCAACTATTAACAAGGACTATGTCACTTTCACAAAAGCACCAGCGCACCATCCCATGATGTCGTTCGGTTGCCCTCATCCACACCCATCTCAAGCTCACAGAAAGGCCGACATGTTACGTTTAGGCCCTGTATCATTATTACTTGACGACTCGTTCGAGTTTGCAGTCTTCAACCACGATTTTACATCTCGAGGAGGTGCATTTCACTCGAGTGTGGTGAGAAAGTATGATTTCCAGGACCGATTCCAGATCGAGAGTCTCGAAGTTTGGGGCTGTGGCGGTGATAAAGAAGCACAAGCCCAAGCCGAGAAATGGGCCTGGGAGGAGCGAGAGGCTGAAGCTCGCCGCAAGATCAATCTCGGAAATGGCGATATCGAGGCTGACCGGGCATTGCTTGAGATGGCGGGGTTAATTGGAGGAAACCGAAGTGGAGGATCTATGACATGAAGCAACTCCCCAGGATTTAAGCATTACCAGGCAATGCATATTCTTAGAACCTGGATAGCACATTGGTTTAACAACTGCCTGTCTTGAAACTTCGCAGTCCTCAAGCTCAACAACCATAAAGAATCCTTAACATTTGCCTTAGTAGTTTGGGAGTAGAGCCACGCTGCACTCGAAGGTACCGCCCGTTGTCTATCGTACACAATATCTTTCTGCCACAAATTAGCATGCGAAACTTTTATACAAACCTCCATCATGACCAATTGCTCCTAATGTACATTCTTTGTTCTCAGTCCTTCCTCTTTGAGATAATTTCGCCAAGATCGCCCAGAGAACTCTTGGGATTCTTCTTCTTCTTTGCGCTGGTCTCGTCCTCGACAGCTTCTACGGCGGCTTTGTCATCATCCTTCTTCTCTTCCTTACTGCCCTGTGGCCACAAGCCAATGCGGCTCAGAATACCTCCATTACTGGAAGCCTCGGTGCCTTCGGGTTGCGATTCTGTAGTTACGTTGGCCTCCCCAGCCCGCTGGGCCTGGACCTGTTGTCTCTTCTTCTCGAGTCTCGCACGCATGGCCTTTTCCTCCTCGTCTCGGGCCTCAAGCTCACGAATCCACTTTTGTCGCTTCTCTTCAGCATCCTTCTGCTCCTGGAGCTGGCGGAGCTCCTTGCTCTTCTCGCGGTCTTTCTGGTAATACATGCTGCCGGCAAGCATGGCGAAAACGGTGAAACCCTGTGCTGCAACTCGGGCTCGGAACATGCGGTTCGCCTGTTTTGAATCGCCACGACGGAGGGCTCGGTAGGCATTGATAAAGGCGAGGGTGGTCAGACCCATTCCTATAGCTATTAGAAGCTGTCCCGTGCGGCAATAGTTCCGAGATGTTTTCTGTACCGAGGGGAATCAATGGCTCCTCCTTAATCTTGCGGAGGACCTTTTGCATTGGTCTTTCATTCTGAAGTTCCCTGGATTATCGCATGAGCGGGGAGTGCACGGTATAGCAAGCTGGAATTGAAGCATACTGGTCGCCGTCAAAGGACGAGGGCATAGGGCCCGGGAGGGAGGGGGGAGCATCAGCCATTGTGTTTTTTAAGCCCAATTGCTGGTGCAGAATGGAGGTGAAGTTGAATTCGTGAGGAAGTGGGCTGAGGATTTACGATCACATTGGATGGATCTGTACAAGCATCATCACTTTTCGCAAGTAACCAAGGTACGTACCTTGTCCAACGCCCCCCGGTCGAGTCCGGGCAAGCAGCATCCTTCCAATCGATCGGCCTATCCGTGTTCGGCCTAGCTGTTGCTCCACTGAAACTTCACAGCTCTGATCGCATTAATGAGCTTATTGGGATGCAATGTACCCGTAGCTTTGTCATCATCGAAAACAGACAACAGATTTGTTATTCATTCTGATATTGCCTTGCAAACCTACTCTGCCTCGCTACCGAACAGAAACGACGACAGACGCGAATCCAATCCGATCTAACCCTTGACGATCACCGTCGACCGACTCTACATACAACTTTCAACTTCCCCTGACACGCCTAGATTCAGCATCATGCAATATCCATGATATAGCCCACGATGTGGTTGCCGACGCCTTCCGTCGAGAGTATTACCCGGCCGCGACTGGCTTTGGCCGTAGTTTCTGCTGTGGCCGCGCTCTCGGCCGGATACTATGCATATCAGGTCCGGTCGCAAAGTTTCGAGTCTCTGCCCGGTGGTGGCCTACACAGGAGCAACGCAGTACGACGTCAACGCCGCAATCGGAGAAACGAGGATGGCTCGAGTTCCTCATCCGAGGCTCCGGGTGACGAAAACGCCAATATTGATCCAGTCCAGCCCCTCGGCGATGGAGAGACCATAGTTGATGGCGGGGACGAGTGGTGGAACGACCCCAGCGGTTTTCCTTCTAATCAACGAACTGGCCACAACATCGTCACCCTTCTCTTTCGCGTTTCAGAGGACAATGCTCGCAGAAATGGATGCGTTCACAGAGGCTGCCAATGTAATTCATGTGGCATGGTTCCCATTCGCGGGGTCCGTTACCGCTGCGCAAACTGTGCCGACTTTGATCTTTGCGAAACTTGCGAAGCCCAGGGAGTTCACATCAAGACTCATATCTTTTACAAAATTCGAATCCCAGCACCGCCGTTCGGTCCGCGACAAATGCAGCAAGTTTGGTATACCGGGGACCCAGACACTTGCAGACGGACTCTGCCCCGCACTCTGATACCCAAGCTGTCACAAGATACAGGATTCGAACGCCCAGAGTTAGAGGCTTTCTGGGAACAGTGGACTTTTATGGCCAACTCGGAATGGAGAGATGACCCCGATGAGCTGTGTGTCGCAATGGATCGCAAGACATTCGAGCGATGCCTTGTTCCTACAGGAGGCTCCCGTCATGCAGCACCAAATCTTATTCACGATCGAATGTTCTCTTTTTACGACTCTAACAACGATGACTTGATTGGCTTCACGGAATTTCTCCATGGATTATCATACAGAAAGCGAAAGGATAAGCTGAGGAAGATATTCTCTGGCTACGATCTGGATGGCGATGGATATGTTGATCGCAAAGACTTTTTGCGCATGTTCCGTGCGTATTATGTTCTATACAAGCAGATGCACAAAGATATTTTAGACGGCCTTCAGGATCAGCTACTCGCCAGCAGCGAAGCTCAGCAGCTCGTGACCAGCCGTCAACCACTGAGCAGTTTATTTGGACGCGAGGGTCGAGTTCCTCCGGGTGAAGGACAGTTTCGGCACGAGGGCAAGACATATCAACGAGACGGTAGTGTGGATATTTCCGATGGGCACGAGCACGTGGTTGCGCCAGATCGCGGCGACACAGCAGCTCGTGGCGACATTCTAACAAACTTGTTTGCTTGTGAAACCGACCATCGATTCCGGTCCAGGAGGCAGTTCATAACAAGAAACGACACAGATAGCAACTGGAGAACAGTTCGCCGTTTGAGTGGCAGTGAGACCGATCGTACTTATTGGGTTACGCTATTGGAACCAGCATCCACCTTGGAGGAGCTTCCAGGCCTCATAATGGAGACTTTGAATCCTGAGATTGAGGAGCCCACAGATGATGAGGATGAGGACGTTGATGGTGACAGACCTGCAGATGGCATGAACGGAACCCATGAAGAAGACGATACAGGAGGTCCGTCACGAACGGAAAGTGAGATCAGAGCCGAGACCATTGCCAAGGATCGCAGCAGGGCTCCTAGACTGGACAAGCGCAAAAGAGACATGGCGCGCCATCAGCTACATGAGCGATGGAAGAGGCGGCAGTTCTACCTCGATGAGGAAGAAGGGGGTCTTGCCCCTGATGACTGGGCAGGCAGTGAAGATATTCTGATGGATCTTCGCCAGATGGATGAAGCCTCTAGTGACGACGAAGAAAACGACTCGACAACGACACCGACTAGTTCAAAGGTGAGATTCGCCAACGGAAATCTCACCGATGACGAGGATCATGATAAAACGACTTCTCCCAGCAGTGCTTCTGAGCATGTGCCGCGATGGAGAATACCGCACGCTGAGCGAGATGCTGGCAAGGAGATTCTTTACCAGGTCACTCAGCAAGCATTTAATGAGTTGCTTGATACCATTTTTAAGCCAGCCGAGGACCTTGCTGTGCAAGCAGCTGAAACCAAAGAACAACGGGCAAAGTACAAGGACGTACTAGACACCATCGAGCTTGGCGATGATGATAAGTCCAAGCCTACGAGTCGGGGTGATTCCAAGGTTAGATCCGCCACTGACACGACTCTTGAGGAGCTCTTGTCCGAAACTGGATATACTATTGCTTTGCCAGAGGGACGAAATGCTGTTGAAATTGATACTACGGTTGAAATCATCCACGAGGATGGAACGGCAGAGCCCATTTCAGGGTCAGAAACTGAGGCAACCATGCCAGTTTCCGAAGACGAAGAACAAGATCCCACTCTTCCACAATTCCGGCCCAACACACTCGAAGATGTCCCTGCCTCTTTGGCTTACGTATTCTACCCCATTACGCAGCCTTTACCAGACACGTCCGAGGACGACGTACCCAGAGAAGAGGATGACATCGATAGCCCTCCCACATCAGACATGCTGCGACACTGGAAACGCCTAAGTCTTGCTGAGGCCCAGGCGATCAAAAGAGGAGGGTGGGGTAAACTAAGCTTTGACGAGTTTGAGGCCATCTACAAGAGTCAGGAGCACCAAGGCAACAGACTCGATTATCTCGGAAGCTGGATAGACTTTTGTATTCCCTAGGCACAGCATCGATCCCGCTTTCAAACTCCTCCTGACCGGGCTCCATAGTGAATGCATGCTTGCGTTGGTGGTTTCATCCTTTTACATTCGGGTAGTTAGGGGAGTTTCTGCATCGTGACTGAAAACTTTCATGTAAAATAACGGAAGGAATGGAATTGGCGCATATCTTGCATACGACAGCGTGCACATGATAGCAGGTATGCATGATATTTGCTACCACTATGCCAGATGTTGCATGACTGCTCGTTTCCAGCAGATACAACATAGCTTACAACATTACACAGCGAAATGACACACAACAGATAAAGTATGATTATTAGCAATCGAGTTCGTATTAAATCAACGCTGAACTACTACTCGTATATGTTTGCTCAAGTCGAGCCCCCTATTCCACGCCCCATGACCAGCATGCACCCATCGATCGATCATCTCTCACAGCCTCTTCTCAAACCTGCTGCTGAGTAGAATCAACACCGTCGAAGCCAAGTAGGGCGTTCCATGTGTCAGCGGTGCTTTGATCCCGTGTTCCCAAAGCCTCAATCTGAGCCTGAGCATCCTCACAAGCAGCCACAGCATCGGCACTAGCGTCACACACGTTGGTGAGCTGGTCACAGATACGGTTGGTAATGATGTTGGGGTTTAGAGCCTCCTGCTGGCCTTCGGCAATGAGAGGATCCTGGGGAATGAAGGTGAATTCGTCAGCTGGACGACCGTTGAGGCCACCGACGCGAGCCATGGTAGGCTGGCAGACACCGAAGTCGAGAGCGCCAGCATTGCCGCCAGCGTTGCCTCCAGCGTTTCCACCGTTACCGGCACCATTTCCAGCATTGTTGTCATCTGCAGCATCATCCTGACCATCCTGGGCATTATCGTTGTTGCCATTGTTTCCACCCTGGTTGTTCTGGTTTCCATTTCCGTTATTGTTGTTGTTTCCGTTATTACCGTTGTTGGCATTGCCATTGTTGTTGTTGTTACCATTGTTTCCATTATTGTTGTTGTTGTTGCCGTTGTTGTTGTTGTTGTCATCCTCTTCACAATCCTCATCGTCATTTGCGTTGTTTCCGTCCTGGGCGTTATCCGAGCCATTGTTGCCCTGCTGGCCATCAGCGGGAGCAGTGCCATTGTTGGCAGCTCCTCCATTACCAGCGCCAGCGTCAGCACCAGTGTCAGCACCGTTGCCAGCACCGGCACCAGTACCATCATCCTGGCCATCAAGCTCGACTTGGTCGCCGTTAGCACCAACGGCTGTGAAAGTACTGAATCCCTGAGCAATCATCACCTCAGCCTGTGATAGGCCAGCAGCATCGAAAGGAGTTGTGACCGAGGTTGCCGAGTTGGCATTCTCAGTGGCTGCACCGTCAACAGCAGGGTCAACGAGAGGGACAATGCCGCGAAGCGCAGCTGTGGCTGGTAGGCTGGGGTCAGCGCAGACGAAAGGTCTGTCAACAGCTGAAGGGTTGAAATTGGTCTCAGCTGCAACAAGGCCAATGGCTGCATCGAGAACTTGCTGGTCAGTTCCCAACTCGGTGATCATCTGATCGGCGATAGTAAGCTGGAGGATGTTAGTTGATGTGATTTCAAGATATCTCAGTACATCATACCTTGTCACAAGGACTAGCAGCTGCGAGCAAAGCGCCAGGGATGCTGCCAGCGATAGTAGCAGCGACACCAGGGTCACCGAATCCAGCATCACCAAGTGCCTGGACAGCAGCAACAGGCTCCTGCTCTTGACCGAATCGGGCCTCGGCGTAGGCCAGCAGAGCTGCAAGGATGATAGACTTTGAGAAAGCCATGACGAATTTTGTATAG